GTTTGAGGGTTTCCTCCAAGCTAGCAAACTTTTGGTCAGTCTCTTTTCTAAAGCTTTCTTGCGTCGGCTGAGGTGCTTGTTGTTGGCCTTGAGGTACCTGGGGCTGACTAAAGTTTCTAGACTGCTGCTGCTGATTTCCTTTCCCGTATTGCCCTTGCTGCTGCTGCCCATAGGGCTGATTGTAGTATCCATGGCGCTGATAATACATCGCATCCACTTGCTCTACTCCAGGGGATGCCGAGTGTGCCATCATTGTGCATTCATGCGACGAATGGAGTCCCCCACACATAGTACAAGAGGGACTAATAGGAACGGGGGCTACCATATTAACACTAGGCACCGAGAGAGCAAGTTCCGTCTTCTTCTGATTGTCTTCCACTGTAGTAGCAAGCTTCTGAATCATACTAGTCAAGGCGTCTACCCTTGCAGAAAGGGCCGAATTCTCATTAATCTCGTACAATCCCGGGGCCTTCTGGTGAGGTGTGTCCCGAGAACTGTACCATGAAGCATTATTAGACACAATCTTCTCAACTAGTTCTTCCGCAACCTCAGATGGCAACTGAGGAAAAGCTCCACCTCCCGAAGCATCAAGCATCATCTTTCCTTCATTGTTGAGTCCACTGTAGAAGCAAGATAGAACCTCACAATCAGTCATCTTGCCTTGAGGGCAAGCTCTTCTCAGCACCTTGAATCTCTTCCACGCCTCAGCCAATGTCTCCAAAGAACCTTGCTTGAATTCCTGTAGCTGCTTCTTCAACTTTATGGCCTTTGATGTTGGAAAGTATTCTTTTATGAATGTCACGCCCCAGACCGCGTCTGTGGCACGTGGACAACCGTCGTACAACCCAATAAGAATAACCGCAATTCATCCTTACCGAATTGCACAAGACGTTCGATAAATACATATGCCAAAACCGATTAGTAAACATACATAACAACATCAACATACAATTAAACACATTGCGGAATATAAGTGTTTAATAAGAACCCACACAAGGGTAAAACAAGAGCTCGCAGGCTCTAGTAATTTATAAGTCAAAATAGTTCCATGAGCATTATTTAATTATTTAAAAAATAGAACGAGAGGAAGCACGAACCACGTCTTCTCTCCATTGATCTCCCGAGCAACGGGTGAAGGAAGTAAGCTCTAGCTTCAACCTGAAAGGGTGGTTCCCCCGAGGGATCAGTACTACAGAAAAGTACTGGTGAGGGCAAACTGTATGTAATGTAACTAACGTTTCTCACGCGAGACCCTCAAAATAGGGTGATAGTATAATTATCGGCGTAACTCTTAGCTACCCCTTTTCAAAACAAAACGTATACATATATACATATGAGTAAAATATCTGGCCCGTGGGCCCATTTGTCTTTCAAATCATTTAGGCGTAACAGCCTCATTAAATTCATCCTTCCCATGCCTTACCCTCGAGTGGAGTCACCCGCAGGCTAACTCACTCGATACTAAAATATAATTACTGTGGGGCCCTTCGGACTCCCATATCCCAGACATGGTTTAAATCAATCCCTAGACCAAGGAAAATATTATATCGGGAACTCGTTCCCGATCAAGCACGTTTAATCATTTAAAATCATTACTTCGAGGTTCACCTACCTCGAGGACTATCCGTCCTTGCTATCATAGTTTTCATTTCCGGGTTAACCCCGCCTCGAGGAGTACGCATACACCCTCATCCTATGTGTAATTTACTGGAGGTTAACACACCTCGAGGACTACACGGGCCCTTGTTACCTATGTGTAATTTGATGGAGGTTAAACACACCTCAAGGACTACACTTGCCCTTGTTACCTATATGCACATTGATGGAGGTTAACACACCTCAAGGACTGCATTTGCCCTTGTTACCTATATGCAATTTGATGGAGGTTAAACACACCTCAAGGACTGCATTTGCCCTTGTTACCTATATGCAATTTGATGGAGGCTAAACACACCTCAAGGACTGCATTTGCCCTTGTTACCTATATGCAATTTGATGGAGGTTAAACACACCTCAAGGACTGCACGGGCCCTTGTTAACGTTTGAGTGTAGAGGACTCCTCCTGGTCCTACAGAGTATTATATAACCTTACTTGGTCCCGGGTATTCACCCGCCATTTATAATCTACCACGTGCCTCGCCCGGTCGTGGTCTATAATTTCTTTACTAACGACTAGTCCAAGTCTTAGCGTTTAAACCGTACTCCAAGCCTTATCATTTTAAACATCATATTTCATGCAATTCCATGCAAAATATTCATATATAGGATGACCAGAATTAATCCCACGTCGAACCGGGTCCGATTTGGGTTTTTAGCAAAAATCAGTCCTGAAAGCCGAGACATAACCGGCGCCGGTTTTACCCATAACCGGCGCCGGTTTACTGATTTTCTTGAGTAAACCGAACCATAACCGGGCGCCGGTTACCCCCTGGGCAACCGGTCAACATTTTGGTCAATGCCCGTTTGACCATCCAAACGGGGTCCGATTTCCACGAAATTTTATACGCTTATGCAACAAGTCATTCTTAGTCCAAAAATATTATTTTGGACGTCCAAATCATCACACATAATTTATAATCATTTTCTGTCCAAATTAAAGCATATTAAATACACTTATTAATACTATTAATAAGTAAATCTTTCCTTAATACATTCTTAGATGTATTTAACATTTCATGGAATATCATTCTGTTTTGTTTGAGTAATCTCATGCCCAAGCCCAAATCATGGCTCATGATCCTTTCTTACAACCTTTTATTCATACCATTAATTGATTAATCATTAATTATGCCATATTTCCATAATCCATAATTAATATGACTAATCACATATCACATATCTTTTTATATTTCTTTACTAGATAACTCTAGTTAATCACATACACGGTTCAAGTATACCTTCTTATTCATTTAAGAAAAATATACTCATGATTAATTAATAAATTAATCTATTTTTTATATTAATCATATAATACTTCCATAATCCATATTTAATATGGATAATCACAACTTTACAACCCTTTTATATTCACTTACTAGATTATTCGAGCTTATCTCATACATGGTTCAAGTATATCCTCTTATGCATTAAGAAATATATACTACGTACTAATGATTAATTAATAAATTAATCTATTTTTTCATTAGTCATATACACCATGACTAATCATGCATTTTAATCCATTTCATCATTTCTCAAATCATGGTTATGATTTTATTTAGGTAATCCCACGTTTGAACCAAGAGTTACAAGACACGTAGTCGTCCACTCACCTTGAAATGACGCTAGCGAGTTTTTATCCCCTTTGTTTGAACTCCGGCGACCTTTGAATTTTCCGTCGAAAACTACAGCGGATCCGGCGACTTTCCGGCCACTCCTAGGTTCCTTTAGAAGTCTAGAATACCTTGGTAAAATTCCTAACAAGGTTTCACAACCAAAAGTGGTATAAACATCAAAACCTTCCAAGAAGGTGTTTTCCGGTGAACCGGTCTTACTCCGGTCATAACTCCGTTTATGGTTAAACTTAACCCTCCAAACCCTCATTCTACACCTCTATAAGTGTAGAACAAGTTTAAGGGTCCATCATATGATTTATAAAATCATATGAGATTAAATGGAGGATGAAAAATGTTAATGAGATTATTACCTTAATTAATCAAGGTTTTTCTCTTCTTTTCTAACTCTTTCTTCTTCCTTGGACCTCCTTATGGCTTGAGCTTGATTATGGCTATGGAAATGGAAAGTTTCAGACCTCCTCTCTCTTCCTTGGATGCCTTGGGTCGGAGTTATGGTAGGAAAATGAGTGAAGGAAGCCATTTTGGACATATCACTCAAAATCATATGGGGGGTCCCTTTTCCTTTATTTCTTTGTCCCCCAATCCCTTCATGCATGTACCTCTACAGCTCCCTCTCCCTCAATCAGCCGACTTGGTTGATATTATTTTTTGGGGTGGCCCCCACTCATGTGGGAGGTCATCCCTTTATGTCCAAAAGTGTATTTTCGGTCCCGAAAGTTGTATTTTCCGGACTGTTTTAATTAAATTTTATTTTATCGGGTCAAGTAAAATATATATCATTCTTCCAATTAATATTGGACTCTAAAATGAATATATATTACCCAACTTCAATTTAGTGGTCCCCGGAATTTATTTCGGACTGTTATCTGATTAATTAACTATACCGATAATGGGACCTTGTTTGACTGAAAGGCCAACTTTATGGCTCAAAATTAATTTACACCATCATATAAATATTATCTAAACCAAGATGAATATAATATGTGGTCCGTAAATATCGGATGGTCACCGCCCACGTGTGGGCCCAACGTGTATTTTACTGTTGAAGTAACAGTAAAAATGAGAACGCGTTGCCTCGAAAATTCACTCGTCATTTCTCATTACTTAATATGTGGTTTCATATCTGGTGACACTTTAATAAAATGTTACACTTATTTTTAAGTGGTCCGAACTGTATGAACAGATAAAAGCTTATCTGTTTATTCTTATACGAAAATATCTTCAAGGTAGGGTCCTCCAAAAGTACCCACCTCCAACATGTCAACTTACTCATTATTATCCATCATCCCATATTTTGGGTTCTTAAAATATTTATATTCCTTCTGTTATTAATTCGTAGCCTTCCGAATTATTATTAATCCGATAATTAATGATGCACAATTATCAGATAGAGACCCCGGCCCGCTTGGCCGTCTAGTTGTCGTTCTTTATATCATTGGGGTCCACCACCCATACCTATTATCATAATAGTATCGTTTTGGAAAACAATAATATTTTATAAAGTTGAAATACCACGAGTGGTCCCACGTCTAAATTAATAACCCTTTATTAATTTAGGACAAAATTTTTACTTTCTCATTTATCAAGACTACTCTTAGCCTTGATTTACTTTCTTTAACCCAGTACTTGATGAAAAAATTTTCTCACAGTAAAATTCGGGTCTGGTGTTACAAGTTCACCCCACCTTACAGGAATTTCGTCCCCGAAATTAACGTCTGAATCTTGAGAGACATTTCTCCATTCATTATCTGAAGCTAACAATTTTGAAAATAAAAATATTTATGGAAATTAAGGTTTAATTTAATAATACCTTATGCCATAGTCGGGCCTAACAAATGGCTTCCGCCATTCCCGGCCTTCACGAGCGAGTTCGCCATTGACTTGTAGAAGGTACCATGTTTGAGGCAACCCTAGTTGGGTTTTCAACCCCTGTGACCCCTCCTCTAGCTCCTGATGTTCCTTCACGCGTACGTTGAGAACAAAGGACCTTGATGTGGCCTGTTTCTCCACAAAAGTAACATCTAGATGGCTCTCGACATCTCCCGTAATGCCTTCGCCTACAATTCTCGCATTTGGGTGCCCCCGTGCCTCGAGTGCTTGAGCTTTGACTTACCAAGTCCTGGCTCTCACTGAAAAACGGAACTGACTTGTTAGAGTTCCCCTTGCTCTGATGTTCATACTTCCCCTCTCGTCGTGGAGGGTGAATGATCACCTGATCTCTTTCTTGTGCTTCCTTTGCATCCCTTGCTTGCCTTTCCTTCCAAAGCTCCTCCCCCTGGAGACCCTGGGCTACTACTTCACTAAAAGTCATGTTGAATTGGTAGGTCGCTCTTTCGCGTATTTCCAAATTGAGTGCATTCCAAAAATGGTTTGCCATTCGGTTCTCATTTGCGGCATACTCAGGCAAAAACCTTGCCAGATGTCGGAATCTTTGTTCCAGCTGCTTCACCGTAAACTCATTTCCCTGTTTGAGATCGATATATTCCCTCCTCTTTCGATTTACTTCGAAAGAGGTGTAAAACTGCTCATAGAATGCTTGCTCGAAGTTGTCCCACGTGACAACCCCGTCAAACTTACCCTTGGTGCCTTCCCACCAAGTAGAAGCTAAGCCCTCCAATAATCTAGTAGCTACCCTTAACTTTCGTTCAGGGACCACTTGCATGTCATCAGCTGCATCATTTAACCTTTTTATCCACTCGGCTGCTTCCGATATGTCCCCCGTTCCATCAAATGGTTTGCACCCCAAGGCTCTAGCCTCCTTGAGGTACTTTGAGATCTTAATGAATGGTCCTTCGTCATCAGAATCTCTGACTGTCCTAACTTGTGCTCTATGAGCACCCTGACCCCTCATGAGAGAGGTCTCGCCTCTTACATGTCCCTCCTGAGATCCCTGTCGTTGTCTTCCCCTTTCACGTTGGTACCATCGGTACATCTCACTAACATGGTCCGGAGGAATACTACGTATATCCTCTCCACTGTTTTCCTCAAAGGAAGTTTCATCTGACTCGCTTTGAGGGTGATAAGTTGAGTCATCCTCCGAGTTCCACGACTCGAATTCAGTCACATTGTGATCAGCCATCGTGGCTCGTGTTCGTGGGCCTTGATTGCCCATACCTCTCCTTTTACGCGACCTTGATATCCCCCGATTGGCTTGCCCGGCTATCCTCGGTGCGCGCCCTCTCGGATTTCCTCGAACCGCCCTATCGCTACCACCCATTCCTGAAAGAATATGTTGGAATGAGTCTTTGGACTCGTTTGAATGTCAATTGACAGAAACGTACTCAAGACACACCTTGGCTCAAGTCACTGCCATACCAATTGTTAAGGGGCCCATCTTAACAACCAGAGACCTTGCAATTCGATAACCAAATGCTCTTAAAGTACAAAACTTATGCTCATGGGTTTTCATTGAAAAACTGTTTTGATAGAAACTCTGTTGAGAGGTTGATTATATAGTTTAGAAATCGTATGGCTCTGATACCACTTAATTGTCACGCCCCAGACCGCGTCTGTGGCACGTGGACAACCGTCGTACAACCCAATAAGAATAACCGCAGTTCATCCTTACCGAATTGCACAAGACGTTCGATAAATGCATATGCCAAAACCGATTAGTAAACATACATAACAACATCAACATACAATTAAACACATTGCGGAATATAAGTGTTTAATAAGAACCCACACAAGGGTAAAACAAGAGCTCGCAGGCTCTAGTAATTTATAAGTCAAAATAGTTCCATGAGCATTATTTAATTATTTAAAAAATAGAACGAGAGGAAGCACGAACCACGTCTTCTCTCCATTGATCTCCCGAGCAACGGGTGAAGGAAGTAAGCTCTAGCTTCAACCTGAAAGGGTGGTTCCCCCGAGGGATCAGTACTACAGAAAAGTACTGGTGAGGGCAAACTGTATGTAATGTAACTAACGTTTCTCACGCGAGACCCTCAAAATAGGGTGATAGTATAATTATGGGCGTAACTCTTAGCTACCCCTTTTCAAAACAAAACGTATACATATATACATATGAGTAAAATATCTGGCCCGTGGGCCCATTTGTCTTTCAAATCATTTAGGCGTAACAGCCTCATTAAATTCATCCTTCCCATGCCTTACCCTCGAGTGGAGTCACCCGCAGGCTAACTCACTCGATACTAAAATATAATTACTGTGGGGCCCTTCGGACTCCCATATCCCAGACATGGTTTAAATCAATCCCTAGACCAAGGAAAATATTATATCGGGAACTCATTCCCGATCAAGCACGTTTAATCATTTAAAATCATTACTTCGAGGTTCACCTACCTCGAGGACTATCCGTCCTTGCTATCATAGTTTTCATTTCCGGGTTAACCCCGCCTCGAGGAGTACGCATACACCCTCATCCTATGTGTAATTTACTGGAGGTTAACACACCTCGAGGACTACACGGGCCCTTGTTACCTATGTGTAATTTGATGGAGGTTAAACACACCTCAAGGACTACACTTGCCCTTGTTACCTATATGCACATTGATGGAGGTTAACACACCTCAAGGACTGCATTTGCCCTTGTTACCTATATGCAATTTGATGGAGGTTAAACACACCTCAAGGACTGCATTTGCCCTTGTTACCTATATGCAATTTGATGGAGGCTAAACACACCTCAAGGACTGCATTTGCCCTTGTTACCTATATGCAATTTGATGGAGGTTAAACACACCTCAAGGACTGCACGGGCCCTTGTTAACGTTTGAGTGTAGAGGACTCCTCCTGGTCCTACAGAGTATTATATAACCTTACTTGGTCCCGGGTATTCACCCGCCATTTATAATCTACCACGTGCCTCGCCCGGTCGTGGTCTATAATTTCTTTACTAACGACTAGTCCAAGTCTTAGCGTTTAAACCGTATTCCAAGCCTTATCATTTTAAACATCATATTTCATGCAATTCCATGCAAAATATTCATATATAGGATGACCAGAATTAATCCCACGTCGAACCGGGTCCGATTTGGGTTTTTAGCAAAAATCAGTCCTGAAAGCCGAGACATAACCGGCGCCGGTTTTACCCATAATCGGCGCCGGTTTACTGATTTTCTTGAGTAAACCGAACCATAACCGGGCGCCGGTTACCCCCTGGGCAACCGGTCAACATTTTGGTCAATGCCCATTTGACCATCCAAACGGGGTCCGATTTCCACGAAATTTTATACGCTTATGCAACAAGTCATTCTTAGTCCAAAAATATTATTTTGGACGTCCAAATCATCACACATAATTTATAATCATTTTCTGTCCAAATTAAAGCATATTAAATACACTTATTAATACTATTAATAAGTAAATCTTTCCTTAATACATTCTTAGATGTATTTAACATTTCATGGAATATCATTCTGTTTTATTTGAGTAATCTCATGCCCAAGCCCAAATCATGGCTCATGATCCTTTCTTACAACCTTTTATTCATACCATTAATTGATTAATCATTAATTATGCCATATTTCCATAATCCATAATTAATATGACTAATCACATATCACATATCTTTTTATATTTCTTTACTAGATAACTCTAGTTAATCACATACACGGTTCAAGTATACCTTCTTATTCATTTAAGAAAAATATACTCATGATTAATTAATAAATTAATCTATTTTTTATATTAATCATATAATACTTCCATAATCCATATTTAATATGGATAATCACAACTTTACAACCCTTTTATATTCACTTACTAGATTATTCGAGCTTATCTCATACATGGTTCAAGTATATCCTCTTATGCATTAAGAAATATATACTACGTACTAATGATTAATTAATAAATTAATCTATTTTTTCATTAGTCATATACACCATGACTAATCATGCATTTTAATCCATTTCATCATTTCTCAAATCATGGTTATGATTTTATTTAGGTAATCCCACGTTTGAACCAAGAGTTACAAGACACGTAGTCGTCCACTCACCTTGAAATGACGCTAGCGAGTTTTTATCCCCTTTGTTTGAACTCCGGCGACCTTTGAATTTTCCGTCGAAAACTACAGCGGATCCGGCGACTTTCCGGCCACTCCTAGGTTCCTTTAGAAGTCTAGAATACCTTGGTAAAATTCCTAACAAGGTTTCACAACCAAAAGTGGTATAAACATCAAAACCTTCCAAGAAGGTGTTTTCCGGTGAACCGGTCTTACTCCGGTCATAACTCCGTTTATGGTTAAACTTAACCCTCCAAACCCTCATTCTACACCTCTATAAGTGTAGAACAAGTTTAAGGGTCCATCATATGATTTATAAAATCATATGAGATTAAATGGAGGATGAAAAATGTTAATGAGATTATTACCTTAATTAATCAAGGTTTTTCTCTTCTTTTCTAACTCTTTCTTCTTCCTTGGACCTCCTTATGGCTTGAGCTTGATTATGGCTATGGAAATGGAAAGTTTCAGACCTCCTCTCTCTTCCTTGGATGCCTTGGGTCGGAGTTATGGTAGGAAAATGAGTGAAGGAAGCCATTTTGGACATATCACTCAAAATCATATGGGGGGTCCCTTTTCCTTTATTTCTTTGTCCCCCAATCCCTTCATGCATGTACCTCTACAGCTCCCTCTCCCTCAATCAGCCGACTTGGTTGATATTATTTTTTGGGGTGGCCCCCACTCATGTGGGAGGTCATCCCTTTATGTCCAAAAGTGTATTTTCGGTCCCGAAAGTTGTATTTTCCGGACTGTTTTAATTAAATTTTATTTTATCGGGTCAAGTAAAATATATATCATTCTTCCAATTAATATTGGACTCTAAAATGAATATATATTACCCAACTTCAATTTAGTGGTCCCCGAAATTTATTTCGGACTGTTATCTGATTAATTAACTATACCGATAATGGGACCTTGTTTGATTGAAAGGCCAACTTTATGGCTCAAAATTAATTTACACCATCATATAAATATTATCTAAACCAAGATGAATATAATATGTGGTCCGTAAATATCGGATGGTAACCGCCCACGTGTGGGCCCAACGTGTATTTTACTGTTGAAGTAACAGTAAAAATGAGAACGCGTTGCCTCGAAAATTCACTCGTCATTTCTCATTACTTAATATGTGGTTTCATATCTGGTGACACTTAAATAAAATGTTACACTTATTTTTAAGTGGTCCGAACTGTATGAACAGATAAAAGCTTATCTGTTTATTCTTATACGAAAATATCTTCAAGGTAGGGTCCTCCAAAAGTACCCACCTCCAACATGTCAACTTACTCATTATTATCCATCATCCCATATTTTGGGTTCTTAAAATATTTATATTCCTTCTGTTATTAATTCGTAGCCTTCCGAATTATTATTAATCCGATAATTAATGATGCACAATTATCAGATAGAGACCCCGGCCCGCTTGGCCGTCTAGTTGTCGTTCTTTATATCATTGGGGTCCACCACCCATACCTATTATCATAATAGTATCGTTTTGGAAAACAATAATATTTTATAAAGTTGAAATACCACGAGTGGTCCCACGTCTAAATTAATAACCCTTTATTAATTTAGGACAAAATTTTTACTTTCTCATTTATCAAGACTACTCTTAGCCTTGATTTACTTTCTTTAACCCAGTACTTGATGAAAAAATTTTCTCACAGTAAAATTCGGGTCTGGTGTTACAATGAAGGCCTTGTGCAGCTGATCCCAAGTCTGAGTGTGGTGATGTGGATTGCTATCCAACCACCTCTGCACGTCATCCCTCAATGAGAAAGGGAATAGTAGCATCCGTACCTGATCATCATCTAGCCCAGGAATCTTGAAAGTCTGGCACATCCTTAGAAATTTGGTAATGTGTGCCACTGGATCTTCCGTATGGCTCCCTCCAAACTGATTATTTAGGACCATATTGATCACTGCCGGCTTGATCTCGTAGCGGGGTGCAGTAATTCCCGGTACTTGAATACTGTCATACTATGTGATCTCGGGGGCTAGGAAGTCTGCAATGGTCTCTCCTTGATAGAGCGGATTGTCATGTGGGACATAGTTCTTGGATGGAGGAGCTTGATATCTTGGCTGATGAACTGGTTGTGGTCTAATGGGTTGTGGACGGATGATGTTTGGCTGTTGTTGCAAACAAAATGTTACATAAAGCTCATTTTGTTGTAGTCGTAGGGATTGGATTTTGTATGACTGACGGTTGGTTCTGTCTGGGCTGAAAGACTGGATTGTTTTGCCCTAGACCTTGCATCCCATAGGTTTGGTTCTGAAAAGTGGTTTTGGGAGCAATAGAAGTATTTTGGAAGAGCTGATAGAGTGGTGAAAGATTTAGTTGTGGAGTAGACTGATTTTGGGGGAAGAATGGGGTACGGAGATTTTGATACCCCGGATAAGCTCTAGGTGAATTATCTTGTGAAGACTGGGGAGAGGTATTAACGTAAAAATCCAGATTACCAGAAGTGGTTTGGACCTCAGACGTCCCAGCTATTCCAGAAGTGGATGGTTCCATGGTGGCGTTCTTCTGTTCTCGTAAAGCCTTGTGGTTCTGCTTAGCGAGCTTCTCAATCTCAGGATTAAGAGGGGCTAGTGATTCTCCCTTCTTAGAGCGTGTATGCATAAACAGATCTGACCTGCAAGGTTAGCAGACAAAAATCCTACGAAAAACTAAAAACAAGTCGCTAAAATTAATTAACCCTTAAATCCGACACTGTCCCCGGCAACGGCGCCAAAAACTGATGTGTGTTTTCTCGCACTTAAAAAGATTGTAATATAGTGGTGTAAGTACGAGTATCGTCTCCACAGGGACGGACAAAAGGGAATCAAAGATTAACTAAATTCAGCGAATAAAAATAAAAAATAAAAATAAAATGCAAGTGTGCGAGATTGATTGATTGAATAAAAATTAAATTAAACTAATGCGAATGAGCGAATAAGATAAATGTTTGGTTTCTTTCTAATTAACGACAAAGGGAACAGGGATTGATTCCGGGGTAATCAGATTTCTGGCAGAACAGGCCTAATTACATGAATTTAATTAAATTGAGCCTAGCTAATCATTACTAAGTTCTTACCGCTCTCGCGGCGTAGAGTACAATAATTTAGGGGACCAGACTGATCTCTCATGCGACAAGATCCTAAATTATTGCCAAAACGAGCGAGCTTACGGCTCCTTAATCGCTACTAATCTCTTAGCAAACGATTAAGTGTGTGTGAAGGTGTCCTAGAATAAATTAGATCTCTCTTAATTCATTCTACATGCAATTGTAATTCTAGCCGCGGTTCCAGGTTACAAAAGATATCAGTTAAATTATTCAAACACAAATTAAACGGCATTCATGCAATTAAACCGACAAGAATCTAGCCATCAATCATAATTAACCCCTTCATCAATCCCAAATCCCTAATTAAACTACTCACAATTCATAATTGAAGAATCAACAGAATTGGGATGAATAGAAATAATTGTCATTAATTAAAAAGATAGAACTTACAAAGAATCCCTTAATCTTGAAGAACAAGGCTTGAAAAGCTCTCAAAAATTGAAATAGGGTCTATCTCTCTAAGCTCATCCGTCAAAAACAGGCAAAACAGAGGTCTATTTATAGAAAAATCCGAAAACAGGCCGAAAATCAGGCCGCGCGGTCGTCCGCACGCCGTGCGGGTCACCGCGCGTTCACACGCGCGTTTTTCCGTCTTTCGACTTTCGCTCCGCCCGCGCGGTGTGCGGGGCGCCGCACTATGCAACCGCGCGGGTACTTCTGGGGGCTATTTCTGGACCGCGCGGTGTGCGGTTTCGGCCGCGCGGTGTGCGGTTCAGACCCCTCAACTATTTGCTCTCAGAATCGTCCGCGGGGCGTGTGGAACCGCACCGCGGGGCGTGCGGAACCGCACCGCGGGGCGCGCGGAATGCTTTTGGACCGTTTTCTTGTCATTTTCTTCACGGTTTGTTCCCGGATGCTTCTTTAATCGATCCAAAGGCCGTTTATTCATCAAATCTTCGCCGTGAACCTCCCGGTGGCCTCCAAAACTCTCAAATCTTTCTTGAACGCCTTCAAATCCTCCCCGAATGCCTCTCAAGCGCCGATTGCCGGACTCTAACTTCTTCAAATCAACTCCAATTGCAACGAAACTCGATCCAACGCCTGCTAAACACAACTTGAGCCAAAATTGAGACTTGCGACGCCTTAAAGCTAGGAAAACCATCAAAATCCAACCCGAACACGCATCAAATGCGTGTCTAAATACGGACTTATCAATATGTGAACTCATACCTTAGGTCTTGTACGCACTATTAATCTACTTGTAGGTTTTGGCTTTTCATGCAACTCTTTATATGTAGTGTCTCGTGATTATATAGATATAGTGGACTTAGTAAATTTGTGACTTTGGTCTTTCTGTATCAAGTAATTTGTACTGGTAGGATTTAAATATCCTTTCCAGGTAAAGGAAAATTGCCTTATTACTTTTTATATTTCCAGTACAATTAATATGATACAAAAAGTGTACATGTGAAATTGGTCACAATTTTACTAGTGACAAGAATAATTCTATAACAAATAAAAACATACTGGTTGGATTTGAATATCCTTGAAAGGTAAAATTTTACCTTATTGCATTTTATACTTTCAGTATAATTTAATTTGACATAAAATTGTACATTTCTAGTTTTGTCACTTTATATTGGATTCTTTCTTTTTCGTACCTTCTTCTTTTGAGATGATCTTTTTGTTTTATGGTACGATGAGTACTTTTTATCTATCTAATTTGTGGAGCACACTACAATTTACTCAATGGATAATTTCAAGAAAAAAGTCCAAATCATATAGAAGGGTGGCATCATCAAAACTAATTTGTTCAACTGTAGCTTATATCAAAGTCTGAGGGACCTAACAGTGTTCTCACATTTGACTACATGTATATTCATATCACTTCAATAAATTATTTGTGTAAAAAAATTAATTATTCATGTCACACCCTCATGTATACACATATGAGGGTGAAGCAACAAGATGTTTTTTGGCGTCAGAAGGCTAATATTAAATGGTTGCGGGGGGATGCTAATACTCGTTTATTCCATGAATCTGCTAAGGAAAAAGTTAGAAGGCAGCGTATTATGGCCATTAAAAAACTGAATGGGGAATGATGTTATGATAAAAAAGAAATTGGGGAAGAGGCAGTTACCTTTTTCACCAACCTATATGCTGAGGAGGAAACCCAATCCTATGATGAAATTCTATGCAATATACCTACGGTGCTAAACGAGGAAGATAATCTCCTACTCATTACGCTACCAGATGAGGCAGAAATTAAGGAGGCGATTTGGAGTTTGAATCAGGATGCTGCTCTGGGACCGGATGGTTTTGGTGGATCCTTTTACAAAGGTTGTTGGGATATGATCAAGAAAGATGTGTTACTAGCAGTGTGGGAATTCTTCTTGGGTTTTCCAGTTCCTAAGGCGATTGACAGTGTCAATATGGTTTTAATTCTAAAAAAAGAACCCTATCTCAATTGGTGACTTCTGACCTATTTGTCTCTCCACGTTTATTAGTAAGGTAAATACCAGGATTTTAGCAACCAGACTGGGGAAGCTACTGCC